ATTACAATGAAAAGAGAAACCCCAGCACACCTTAGCTGTCACCCCCAGTTCCTCTATCTGCCAGCCCTAGACAACTGCTACTTTCTGTCTTTCTAGATTTGTCTATTCTGGACATTTATGTGGAATCATGTAACAAGTGGTCTCTTGTATCTGAATGCTTTCACTTGGCATAGTGTTTTCAGAGTTCATCCATGTTGTAGTATGTGTTAGTACTTTGCTTTTTATGGTTGAGTAATATCCATTGTATTATTATTTATCCACTTATCCACTGATGGACATTTAGATTGTTTCCATTTTTGGCTATTATGAATAATGCTGTTATGAACATTTGTGTGCAAGTTTTTGTGAAGACAGTTTTTAATTTTCTTGGTTATACTCCTAAGAGTGAAATTGTTGGGTCATATGGTAACTCTATGTTAATATTTTGAGGAATGGCCAGACTGTGTTCCAAAAGTGGCTGAATCATTTTACAGTCCCACCAGCAGTGTATGAGCTCCCCTTTCTCCACGTCCTTGTCAACACTTGTCATTGTCTTGGATCACAGCCAACCTAGTGGGTGTGAAGTGTGTCTCATTGTGGTTTTGATTTACATTTCCCTGATGGCTAATGATGTTGAGCATATTTTCTTGTGCTCGTTGGTTATTTGTATATCTTTGGAGAAATGTCTATTCAGATCCTTTGCTCATCTCTAAAAAGTGTCTTTTTATTATATATTTGTAAGACATCTTAGTATATTGTAGATACAAGTCCCTTATCAGACATGATTTCCAAATATTTCTTCTCATTCTGGAGGTTGTCTTTCACTTTCTTGATGGTGTCCTTCGAAGCACGAAGGTTTAAGGCTTATTCCTTTTGAAAGACAATCTTTTCAAAACATATCAGAAGCCATAGAGGTTCTAAAATTCTTTGATCCAGTGTTTTCAATCCTAGAAACTAGCCCCAAGGAAACAATAAGGAAAAGAAAGAAGCCATTAGTATAAAAATGTTTATGGCAGCATCAGTTAAAAAGAGAAAAATTGGAAATAGCTTAAATGTGCATCCACGTAATTATAGAATATTATTCAGTTGTTAAAATTATAAATATGATTAAACATGAATATGCAGATTCATGAATTATGTCTGAGTGGAAGCAATAGGCTATCAAATCAGATCAGAAAAAGGAGGGACAGAGGAAGGTAACTGATGGCTGGGTGACAGAGAATGGATTTTTGCAATGTTGTTACAAAGCAAAATTTAAAAGTAAAGCATTATTGAGCATCATGAGGTCCTCACAGAACAGCAGAGCCACACAGCAGGGCTATGATCATCATTAGGGCATTTCTAGCTCTTTCTAATCATAGTTATATCAAGTTGTGATTCAACTGGACTGTCTTCTTTTTTTTTTTTTTTAATCTTGCCTTGTGTCTTATCATTAAGGCACTGGGGAGGTGTACACTTCCTGACAGTTTGGGGAGTAACCATCCAGTGTATGTGATGCCATCCCTGTCTCCACTGGGAGATACACGAGGTGCTTCCAGTTTTCCACTAGTATAGTTAGTGCTGAGATTAATAGCTTCATGTGGAAAGCTGTTCCTGAATTTCAGATGAATTCCTTGATGTGGATGGAATTACAAAGGAAAGGGTATGAACAGTTTCTAAGAGGACTTTTTTCAGATGCTAAAGGCAATATGTTTAATGTCGACAGTTTGAAACCTAAACAGAAAAGACAAAACAAATCACTCTTATTCCCACCGCCAGAAATAACCACATTAGCATGCATCTGTATTTCAGTGTAAGCTTCTTCCTGTGGATTTGCAGATGTTGTAGTTTGTTACATAAATGGGACTGGGAGTGTCCTGTCAGGCAGTTCTCTAGCCAACTCTAAAATGTAAGTTTCTTCCCATGTCACTAAAAATATCTTTAAGTTTACCAATAATAGATGCAGAGTACTCCATTGTGGGATTGGAACCTCATTCACTTAACCATTCTTGCTTGTTGAAATATTTCACTGATGAGGCTGCCGGGTTAGTTCAGTTGGTCAGACCACAGTGTTTATAACACCATCATTGAGAGTTCGGATCCCCATGCAGCCAGCTGCCAAACAAACAAACAAAAATATTTCATTGATGGGAACAATTTTTAGGCTCTTGGTATGTTTTGCTTTCTGAGTAAGCTGTGTTCTCATGGTGCCATCACCAAAAGTGAATTATTTTTCATTGGTTTAAAAAAGCTTACAAAAGCAGGGGCTGGCAGATTGGCTAGAGCACAGTATTAACACCATGGTCGAGTTCGGATCCCTGAACTGGCCAGATGCCAAAAAAAAAAAAAAAAAAAAAAAAAAATTAAAAAAAAAAAAAAAATTCCCAGGA